CTTTACTATACTTGGAAGATCACTTACATACAATATAAAAAGTAAAGGACATAGAACGGAACCCTGAGGTACTCCCCTAAGAACTGGTCTCCAGAAGGAGCACTTGAAATTTATTCTTACTTTCCGTCTACGACCTGCTAGGAAATCCTCAAGCCATTTTAAAAGAGGTTCGACAATACCAAGGTTTTCTAACCTCAATAGCAGTCTATTAGTTGGCGCCTTGTCACGTGCCTTACTGAAGTTTATGTAGACAACATCCACAGAGTTCCCGTTGCACCCTTCCAGTCCATAGGCAACACACCTTGGTCAAGTGACATATAAAATATCACAGTCAGTGGGGTCGCGATATGTTGTGCGATATATCTCAAGGTTTTGGGGTGTAGTTCATCTGGCACCGTTGACTTTGCCATGTCTAAGGTGATAAGAGCCTTAAGTACATCGTCTTGATCGTGGTTCACGATGAGCAGGTGGTTTGCTGACTCTGTATTTGGGTCTGGTTGTTTGTCTAGAAGAGGTTGCTGAGTGAAAACAGCCTCTGCTTTTTCCTGATCTCTCTCTACCATTTCAGATTCACTCCCTTCTTTAATTAGGTTGGGAGTCCAATGATTCATCCTTGTTCTTAGTTTGTGTACGAGAATATTCTCTTAGGCTGCTTGAGTGCACATTGTGCCGAACGCATTTCATATTTTCTCTGAGCTTCCCGAATTTTGATTATACACGTGTTTCTTACCGACCTACAGCGTTTCATCGTACCTGCTGTGCCAAGGCTGATAGCAACATTCCATCGTTTCCTCTTTTGTCCAATATCCCGGCCTATCCAGGGATGGCCGTTGGGACTGTCCAAGGTATGTGTGGTTGAGTTACCCGATTGCATGACTACCCGAAATGAGTTTATGCCTCTTGTGCTGATGCCCTTAAGTCAATCTCCCACTTTTCAGCCGACACTGCGGAGTTGATTGCCTCCATATCTGCCTTCCATGTAATGAAACGGGCCGGCGCAACAGTTTGACAGGCAATTTCAGCCATGAATTTGAATAGTATGACGGCATGATCTATTCTCCCTAGTGGTGTGAGGAAAGTCATTTGAACAACTAGTCAACTGGATTTCATTATATAATACTTCTGACGTTAACCATGTTTCTGAGACAGCAATAACATCCGGGTTTTCTTTATCCACCGTTGACTTGGGCTCCGCCATTTTATTTAGTAATCTGCGAGTATTTTTGTAGCACACCTTTAATTCTGTGGAGAAATTTCTCTTACCACCCAGAGTGGTTTGGGGATCTTTTTGCTTCGAAATTTTACAGTTTGAAAAGCCTTAAGAACGAGGTATTTTTCACTTCTGCAGCTCGTCTCCTAAAACGATCGGCTAGGGTGAGATCCTCACGGATGTATATTCCGAATCCAAACAGTTTACGTGAGTCACCTAGAATCAGTTTCCTTTCTTTAACCGTGGTAAATGTAACCCTCGAGGGGCAGCTTTTCTGAGTACATTCATAATCCGCCTTTTGTTCTATTCTATGAAGCTTACAGATGCTAATTCCTGAGAATTTTTCTGGGGGTAGCTTTCTTATTATGGACCTGAAACCGTCTCTTCCTTGCACTACGATTTCAATTCAGCGTCATACGCAGAGGTCACATTCTGTTTTCCTACTTTTCTTTTCCTAGGGGCGACTGTGAGCCACTCATTTACCCGATTATGTTCCTTGATCACATCCTCTACACCGCTCAGACTTGGCTCCCCCATAGTTTTTATTGCATTGATATGTGAACCCGGTACTGAACCCGCAGAATCACATGTCTCAGTACTGTCTGTAGATAGCTTCTTCTTCTTAATGCGCTTCTTCTTTCTTCTTGTGACAATGCCTATATCCATATACTTATCTTCTTCCCTGATGAGGTCCACCCCTATGGTCTCATTCAAATCTAGATCTTGGCTCATAATAATGATCTCGACTTCTTCGAAAGCGGAATTCTGATCATCTGCTGATGCCTGTTTTTATTAGAGGGCTCAATCGCCTCTAGAGTCAGCAGATATTTAGTGGAACAATATTATGTTACCCTTTATTTTAATTATGATATTACATCCCCTCATTGACCGGGAAATAGAATGCTGGTCTAACACAACGATGTATCAATTGTGCCATAGATTTGTTTTTTATTTCTATATAAATAAAACAAAGAAACAGTTAAAAATCCGACTTCAGAAAGTCCTTGAAACCTATGAATTCAAACAATGCTCAAAGATATACTTGAACATGAAGTATAAGTACCAGTGCCCTTAATTTTTGTATTTGTCGCCATAAATTACAGGTAATAAACTTCTATAGAGAAAACGCTCTACTCTTGTAGATTACTTAAAATGAAAGAATTCAATTAAAGCAAAAACAGTAGTTTTGATGTGTAGTTTAACGATTAATACTACAAAAATTACTCAGTAGTAAATGCCACTGTACTTTTTGAATAATAATAATAATAGTAATAATAATAATAATATATTTCTGCATGACCTAGTATAAGCCAATTTTACAGGCATGATCTACAAATTACAACATTTGTTGGCCCACAGCATATCTCCCAACTTGTTAATTTTATAGTTGTTATAAAGTAGACTCGTAGAGCGCTCGCTGTAAACTATGACATTGAGGAGACGCGTACGTCAAGTTTGTTCCAGATGTCAGAAGTTCTATGGCTGTGCCGTAAGAGCAAGATTCTGAAGAAAGAAAGGAATGAAACAGAAGAGCAGCAAGACACTTGGGTATGAACGCCAAACGTTGCTTAACATTTTGTAGTAGAACAGACAGATGTGCAACAAATTAGATTAAATCCATATTATCTCTTGTTAGAGTGAAACAATGTCGGAGGCTCCATATAAGAGAATGTGGTGATAAAGAACAATGATTCTGGCTTATTAACAAGTTGGAGTAAGCTCACATGAAGGGAGGGAAGTCAACGTTGGTACGAGGAAGGTTGATTATTAGAAGGGAGTGTGCTTATTGAAGCTGACGTTTTAAGAATGCCAATAACTATATCTTTTATTGTCTAATTTTTTCTTTCTTTTTTCGTCCATCCGATGCCAGCCACACAATTCTAGTGTAAAAGTCCGAGTTAGCTCGTTATAATTTGTCTTAATAGAATAGCAAATCCTGAAAATATCTCATTATGATGTTTTGAATTTACGTTTGAAGAGTAGAGGCTATCAGATAATGTTGTTGAATCGGGATCAAATTTTAAACGCTTCCTGAAACACTTAGATTTTTAAGGTGGTTCACAAGCCCTCAAGCATTCGGCGAATTCCGTCAGTGGATGATGTTACTGGGTCGTTGCCACTTGGTTGTGCAGACATGATCGCTCTATGTAAAGTTCTCCCGTTCACATTGTATATATTCTGCTGCCAGCATGAATGTATTCTCCAGAAGTGCTAGACGTCATACTACTTATTGTCACAGAAGGACAAGTCAGTAAGGACAATGATGTGACTTCCAAGTTAGATCTCACGGACTCGGTAATCGTATCATGACAAATCCTCAGTTTCTAGATGAAGTCTCTTATTCTATAGGCAAAGTTGAAGGCAATTAGTACCAATGACACATAAAATTCTTACAAAATATTTAGTTTCAGTCTGGATAGAACAGGAGTCTGAGTGACCTGTGTTAGTCATGACAATTTTGATACCTCGGTTTATCCAAATTTTCTTTGATGACGTGGAATGATGGAGCTTTAATCACGTGTTGGGTTTATTCATTCCATTCGTTGATGATTCGATGGGAAGTTCGATAGTCAGCTGACAAGTTATCCGTTCTGATCTTGTGAACATTTTTAAAGTGCCCTCGTAAATTCTATGTTTTGGGAGACAGATTGGTTTAATTTAGCCGGTCGAACATCATACAGTAGCTTTTCTTTTCCTAGGATCAGCTTAGTTGTGGTTCTTTGGACCTGTTTCGACAGCCGAGTAACTCTTTTTGGGCAGGGATATTTGATTTTATGTAGTACTCTAGTTCAGGATGCACAAATACAGCATACGTATTGACCACATGGTTCCGAAACCTATGGCGCCTATGCCACAGTAGTTTTCAAGTATTTGATAATGATGAATCCTAATTCACTATGTCTAGACAACACGTAGCTCACTGTTATTCACCGTGTATGTCACTATACCTTGGTGACTAATATATTCCAAAATGCATTTGGAAGCATTTATCAACAACTTAGATCAGTACAATAATTTCTTGAGGTCATGCTGAAGCTCTTAACCTTCATTATTATGCTTTATCGCCCTCCATATATTGACACCGTCAGCGCATAACAAAACCGATATTGATAGGAGACTAGAATGATCATTTACATATGGAAGTTACAACACTGACCGCAAAACTGTGCAATAAAGCCCTCCGCTAAACACGATTCTCAAGCTAGACAATTTTTAGTTCGCCTGTTCGCTTTGTTGACGCCTAACTAAGAGATCATTTATCCACATTATAAAACTGCCTTCAACCCCTACATTCCTTAACTTATATAAAAGCCGGTTGTGATGAACATTGTCCAAAGCCTCGCCAAATTCAGTGTAAACTACATCTATAGGTAACTTTTGGTCTTTAAAGGCGTACCAACTTTTAACAACTATTAACGGGCCACTGAGGCGTAAATAATTTGTTCTAAAGCCATGCTGCTTTTTAGGAAGAATCAGGTTGTTGTTGAGATACCTGAACGATTCCTTCCGAAGATTCATTTTTAAAAATTTAGCAATCACACTAGTTAGACTTACGGGTTAACAGTTCTCATGTTTGTGCCTTGAAGACAGAACTTACTAATGTGTTCTTCCGGTCTTTTGTCAATCGGTTACAGATAGGTTAAATCATATACTAAGGGGATTCGCGACGAAATTCGCTGATAGTTCTAGTAGTCTAGGATGCTTACACATTACTAACTGATATTATTTCCACAGTACAAAGCTGGATTTGCCTGATATGTTTTTACTACATAGCTTTATACTTATCACTATGGAGTTAGGTTCGCGCAGATTAAATATTCACGTTCTAACATTAGCAACACCATAATATAAGAAAAATTTTTGAGTTAAAATTATTGACTAATTATTTGGTTGAATCAATACCTTTAATTGAGCAGTTGGATTTCGTTAAAGTTAATTGATCTAAGAATTTATAAGCATCTCATCAGAGGATTTACTTCGATGACGATTCCAACTAACAAATTGAGTTGCCTTCGAAAATAAGTTTTAACAAGTAGTTTTGACTACCAAACTAATTAATCTGAAGGTTTTATAAATTCGTGTTTTTATCAATTGCTTTTGTTATCAAATATAAGCGACTTTCTGTGTTATCTGATCGTCGTGTCATATTCATGTGTTGATAAGTCAGTGTGATAATTATGTCAGATCCTTAAAGACTGATTTGAACCCAACTCAAATCAAAGCTTCACTGATGACGCAAACACATCAAAAGCTGAATTGTATAAGTAAACATCTGGCTTTCTATGGCTGTGTCGTAAAGCTGTACTTAAATGCAGCAACGATGTTTCTTTATAACTCTTCTATTACATGTGTCTGTAAACCTAAGGGGCCAAACAAGCTGTTCATAATTGTCTATGGTTTCAAAACGCTGCTATAGCGGTAATATTTACAACATATATTTAGGCGGTATCATAACAAGTATTTAATAAGTATCTTAAGATACTTATTTTAATAATTTGTAAATCTTGATTCATTTTACTGCACAACTTTTCGATCAACAATAACCTGAATTTGGGAACACTAAAAAAAATGAAAACTAAGCCCCAGTTTGGTCATAATGTTTAGGCTGTTAACCTTAATCACACAAGTTATTGATACTAGTAAAGTCCTCTAACCAAGTTCATCAGATAACCTACAAAATATGTGCACCCAATCCAATCTAGTTCATGAAAACACATCATTCCTAATATCGAAGCAATAAAAAGCAAACCAAACCAAAAAATTTGACCATTAGGTGATACGACAAATTTTAGCCTTTGTAAGCTAATATTTATTTCTAAAACCATAGCGGTTAACAGATGACCGAAATATTTGAGAAGTGGGGTGTGTAGCATTCCTGTGTGAAATAAAACCACTAAGTTTAATAACATCAGACCAAGATTATATTAATAGCTACAAAGAACTTATAATCGTTGTTATCTTAGATCATTCTAAATTTCGTCGATAATTGAATGCAGTGTTCTTACAATGGAAAATGAGCACGTAATCACCATTTTATATCAAACCTACCATAACCAGTCTAGTGATATTGTTTTCCAAGGCCATACGGATTCAGTAACAAGCTTAAGTTACAACGACCAACTTGAACATGTCGTCTCAGTGAGTTGCGACCAAACACTGCGCGTGTGGTCTCTCAAAACGAGAGAACAAATAGGTATCACATCAAAACATGCTACACAGCTCAACAGCGTAAACGTAGATAGTGATGGGTTAAAGTAAAATTATGTTTATGTTAATTAATCTACTACAGTATTATATCAAGTGGGATGGATTTTAGAACCTGTTTGTTTGATTATGAAACTTTAAAACTCAAGGTAAAAGAGTACTTTTCACTACGCAACCTAGTTTGTTCTACTGAACGGAGGTGCAGTTACTGATCATTCAATCACCAAGGATGGTAATTCCTTAGTATGTGTCACTGATATTAGCTGCCAAATGAACTTATGGGATTTAAGATATCGAAAGAAGGTTTTTTCAATTCCAGGTGAAACCATTCATATCTGATAAGATTAATTTGGCTTTAAGATATTCACGAAAATACACCAACATGTTGTCTGTTTACTCCGAATGGAAATTGTGTAATTACAACATCAACAGATGGATCCGCAAAATGCACAGACTTGCGATCTCTCAGAACTTTACTGACCTTGCGGTTTGATTTGTGGAATTTACAAATTAAATTATTTTTAGTGATCATAGGAATGCTGTATCATCGGCAGCCATCGCTAGAGACGGAAAATTACTGGTAACAACATCATGGGACAAAACGGTTCATCTATACGACATTGAGACTGGAGACTACAGGAGAGAGGGACCACAGATTTTAGCTGATGGTCACACTGGTTCGATAAGTAGCTGTGACATAGACAACAATGGTAAGGACCATGTTTCACTCCTAATATTATACAGGGATCTACCTGGCGACTGGGGGTCACGATAAGTGTGTTATATTATGGGATACTGAGAAAAGAGAAGTCAAGCTGTGTCTCAAGGTACTACCATGTACTATTTACAGAGTATTTTAAACAGAGACATACAGATTGGATTAATGACGTACACATGACAAAAGATGGGAAATGGATTCTAACAGCATCAAAAGTAGATCCTATTATCAATACCAACGTTTCAGGACAGACTGATAAGGTCATGGAATACGGAAGTGATTGAGAGGTTGCCATTCAGTTACCTACCTGGCAATGAGCAAACTATTCTTACTTTAAAGGTAAGTATAGTAAGATTACAATTGTAACGAAGGTGTGTCATTTTTATTACTAGGTGGCCTTTTTTGGAAGTAATTTGACTGATACATTTTTACTAAACGATGTCCAAGAAAATCTGAGTTCTCATATTCAATATCATGACATACATATTGTGTACACAATGTCCTAATTCAAAGTATATTTACGAACGAAGAAATTACAAAGTAAATGACTGACGCTGAGCAGGATAAGTGAACATAGATCACATTTTCAAAAGCCAAAAAATCAAATGTGCATCGATAGGGTACGAAGATCTGTGACAGACTCATCATATCTATCAAAAACCATTGTGCTTGAAAGAAAAACTTCAGTAGATTTAGTATCCTACCACAGAACTACAAACTCAAATAAATCTAAAACGAACAGTTGAGCCACACCGGTTTCGACTGAAGACCTTGATTCCGTTGTCAGATTGTCTTTAGTGCTTTCTAGTTGATATGAAGGATAGTATCCGACAAGAAGTCAAGATAAAAATATCACGAGAAAACCCCTCGAAATCAAGTACTTGCAATGCAAATGGAATAGACGTTCCGCAGAAGTTTAGTTCTTAGTAAGACATTCTAACTGGATGAATAGCATTACTGTTCGCCAGGTCTCACGTGGTTCTCGAAGTTATAATAACGAGAATTCAGGAAAGGTCGAGTCACCATTACGGGGTGCAAACACCATAACTCCAAGTTATGATAACATCTACAATCCTTCCCATCCCGACCGAACTTCTCAATCGCTACCGCATGTAATAAAAATCACAAACCACTACTTAGTATTGCCTCTTACGTCTGATAAAAAGGAGTGTTCGCGAAATGATAACTCGGAGTTTCTTAGAACAAATGACCTCCAGGATGGTTTCCCTGTAAGTTATTACAGAAACAGAAATTAACAAGTCCTTAAGTTTTGGCATAAAGACTTTCTAAGGAAATACACTAACTCAGCATTTGGCTTAACAGATAAATTACTGGTTAGTGCAGTGTGTTCACAAGACCATCTAATGTCATTGCATTATCTGAAATTGTGACTCAAACACAGCCCTTGATGGAGTTTCCGTAAAATACCAGAAATATTTGGCGATAAGGAGATGTACGATTCGCATCTATTTTTACTGTGCAGTGAAATACATATCAACAAACAGCGAAATTTGACAGATTATTATCATATTTAAGGATAAAACCACATTAAATCGAGACGAAAGCTACTATGAATTATTTGACCATTAAAGCGGGTTACTTCCGGCAATACAACCAATACATACATGACTTGTGAGATGGGTAATCAAGTAGTAACGGGTGGTATGAATCCGAATTGTTTATTAGTTAATGCAAACCAAACGATAAAATATCAGCACAAAAGGGTATCATTCCTATACCAGGACCACTTTATAATTGTACGGATGAGGCAGTGCGAATTAGTTTTAATTGTGAGAACCTAAATAATTTCAAAAAACTAAGTCATAAAATTTTTTGTTTCAGTGCCCGAACTGTGAAAAAAACTTTATCCAGACAGTAACAAGTGACTGGAGGAGACCCAAGTGCTTATTTTGTGACCTCGATGCAAAAACAAACAATTAAAAGATATGCGACCGACTACGACGGTATTAGCGCAATGAAAAATTAACGACAAAATCACAATAAAAGACTTCGTGTCTAAGTACTTTTTATATATGTTTTTTTTTTCAAATCTTATAAAGCAAACAGTCAAATAATATATGTACAAAAATTTCCGAGCCCAGACTGAGTAAAAACGTCCAAAAAACACGGATTGGGCTTTCGATATGTGTGTATCAGGAGAAAAGTGGTCTACCAATTTAAAGTACCAAAAACCACTTAGACTAGATGGGTAGTTACGTCCGGTACACAAACAAGTGACTGAATTACTGTCGAGATACCAGACCGAGCTGAACGGCGGGAAATCATACTATTGACGAGTGAAATAAATGCTGCATGGTATCTGCATCAGTGTTAAACCAAAGGAAATTTAGATACATCAAAATTAGTCACACTTTGAAAGAAGCAAGTAGAACAGGTCAGTTTATCTCATAGAAAGGCACCATGAATAAAGATTTATCAACGGGATCACACGTATCACCAAGGCTCGGGCATTGTAGTTAGTTCACTCAACTCCTGATCGGAACAAGAAGGGAAGAAATGACGCTTGTAACCAATCATATCAACCCAAGGGAGTATATGTAAATACTGATCATCTAGGATGATTGAGTGTAAATTGGTGGGAGAAATACAAGCATATTCAGTTTCTGCACCTACTGTACATTTTTTGGGCGAGTTATATTCTGAAATTCCCGTAGAACTGTTATCACAGACAGTTACATAACTGCGGTCAAGACTATGCCAGTCAATTTCGTCCGGCAAACATGGTAGGTCAGGCCAATCATTCATAAAATTAGTCACAGGGGGGAGAACCGTTTTGTTTTTACGGTGCCTTTTTAGTTGGTTGGAATGCAGTCTGGAAGGACCTAATATTTCAGCTTCATTCTTGTAATGTTTATGCTTCTTTCTCTTTTTAACTTTCCGGGCATTTGACGCAGTGTTGTTCTGAGCATCTTTGAATAATAGTCGATCGGATATATTTTCATTATTATAACTTATAGGACTTTGATTATTGGTAGATGAAACGTTTACAAGAGGTATAACACTTTTAACCGAATCAGAAGTTAGGTTACGATCTTTTTCACAAACAACAGGATTTTCTCTACACTCCAAGGGTATTTCCGACTTAACATCTAAGATTGTGTTACATTTAGGAGAATGCGAGTTTTCATTATTATTGGTAGAGACACAGCGTGAACTTGACTGAGAGCCAGAGTTTGTACGAGCCAGACGTGTTTTTGTGGGTTGCATTATAGAACATACTCGAGGAGGGTCGACTTCTTTGCTGATTCTGTTTGTAAGAATGCGGTCAGCAGTTACGGAATCAATACAATCTCCTGCAGCTTGAACCAATTCTGCAGTTGATTTGACTTTCGTCAAACGCATGGAATTCGATACTCGGAGCTTCGATGAAGGAGACCGAGACGCTGTTGAAATAGTTGTTTGAGGTACTGAAGTATCTAAATTTTCTCTAAACCTGGTATTCTGAGGTTGAGATTCCATACATTTACTACCATTCACAAGGTTACTCGGACTTTTAACCTGGACGACTGTTGATGTTGTGTCTATGCACTTCAGACGTTTAGAGATATTTGAAACATAGTTATCGTTTTGGTTTGTTTGATGCACAGAGGGTTTTTGTGAATTATCTTTGTTGAGTTTTTCTGGAGAAGAATCTGGGAAATTTCGCTTTGTGAGATGTACGGAGCTTTTCATCTGAGAAGGATGTATTGCATTTACAGCATCTGCTGGTTGCTTCGATCTTTCACGAGCAGGTATTTTAGTTGGTGTGCCATTCGATTTAGGTGACGTAGGTATATTTTTGTCGGACGTCTTCAAAGGAATGACATATTGATGAGAATATTCAGAGGATAGTAGCTTTTGCCATGCTTTGATAATAAGTCTAATGCGTTTTTGGAGAGGTGGGTCAACCTTGTGACGAATGGTTTGTAACAGTTGACCAATCCTAGTATCCTGTAACTGAATCATAGTCATCGGGAAGTTCTCCAGATGATCGATGACGTCACACAGTGCATTCAAATCTGTTACCTACAAAGTAGAATGAACAAGAAGTTCCCAAAGTTAAAAAAGCACTTCTTTAACATAAAATAACAGAGGGATATTTATATTTAAATAGGCACTTGAGTTGTGGCTATAATTCCGAATTAAATAGTCAGGCAGCGCAGAACATGGAACATAATGTTTTACCCTAAATTTCCATATCACAACAGCACAGTGAGATGAAATCAATATAGTAGGAGTATGAGCTGGAGTAAAAAAGACAAGATACAGAGAAAATGGCTTGGGAAGAAAAATCTGATCTACTAGATAAAAAGAACCAAATAATTTGAAACTTACACATTTAATGACTTCATGGTTATGTTGTAAGTGAAATTGGAGGAGCTATGTTACGGCTAAATCTAATTCTTAAATCTAGCTAATGTGTACAGAAAGTTTACAAACGACAATCCTAAACAAATGGCTGGTAGGGCGGATATATACAGAACAGTCACTGCTTTCCCTGTACCTCTCTCTCCCGATCGTGGTTGTTACCTTGACGTGGTGGTTGGGCTTGCTTATCGTGATGAAGCAACTGAGCTATACTGGCTGGAACAACCGTTCCTCATCTTGTTAATATATTTATTAGCGAATGAAATAAGAAATGTTCAATATGTAGATAATATTTAGTTGATCTAATAAGGTATTCTTCACTTTATGATTGGATATTTTTACAATTTATCAAAGTTTTGTTAGTATAGGGAACTGTATAGATTACTAAATTCCTAAATTTAAGCGCTCTTATTAAGTTTTAAAGATTATGTGATCAATCCTTGGTTGAGTCGTTGATGCCCATTGCTGAGCAGTTTCATAATAGAACGAAACTACAGTCTAGTGTTTCCTCGTTTATCTCGGTGGTTTAAATAAAGCTAATCAGTGCTGTAGAGTTATAGAAGATAGTTTTAAAACATTGTACAGTTTTCCGTGAATCGAATTTGTACTTGATTATATTCTAATTTCGTTTCTCTCCAACTAACTAAAACTATGATGAACTATATGCAGTAGGGTGTTTCCTTCAGACAACCAGCATAACAACGATGCTGCCTTCCCACGAACGAAAGGTGGGGTTAGGAAAGGTCGACCCTAAAAATGCACACCTCGCCTTATCCCACGGATATCCGTATCCGGCGGTAAGGTCTCAACAATTACGGAGCTAACACGAAAAGGTCGTGTGTCGACCTCAAGCACCTGTCCCTTGGGCACTGCGGTCACGCTCTCAGGTCACTAATACCACCTCTTATCCAATTTCCTTTTCGGGTATCTCCAGAAGAACCCTTCCACGGTGTGGGTGACCAGGAAGAGATAACCGCTCTCATACCTCTAACAGCACTTCAGACCTTTGCACTAGTAATTAACCTCCCTCTTGAATTTCTATGGTTCCTCCTACAGCGAACTTCGACACTAAACTTCCTCTTTTGTCTTCTTCCTCAAACGTCACCTCTGTGTTCTCTCAAACTCTAATCTTCTGTATTCTTCATTTCCTTTATTTTCTTTCCAAATCTGCTCCACTGGACTATGCTCCTTAAATAACATCATCAAATCCTAATGTTCCCTATCACTACTTATACGTTCACTATCTCTACCACTACGGGATTTGAGCCGATAACTGAATCTCTGTGCTAATGAGGTGTGGCAACTCGAACTGATGTACATACATACGAAGTTCCACGTTGTTACTGACTGACAAGCGTCACTATGGCCAACGATTCTAGTGCGCAAAACGCTGTCCCAGGTCCACTGAAACCTCGTTCCAAACTACACATCGGAGCCTTCAACGTACGCACACTATGTCAAATCGGTCAGCAGGCTTCCTTGGCTAAAACCCTAGAATCTCGTACGATTGATGTATGCTGTGTCTCAGAAACACGCACACAGGATCCTAGTATGGTCAGTCACTTGACGACGAGATACACCCTCCGTGCATCTGACGACCCGATGGCTAGTTCTCGTGGACTGGCAGGTGTAGGCATAGCACTAAACATGAGGGCGGAACAAGCGCTATTAGAATGGATCCCCGTTAACAGTCGTCTATGCGCTGTTTGGCTTAACGGCTCCGTAAGAACTCGAAAGGATAGGGACACACGTCGTTGCCTTTTCGTCGTTTCTGCCTACGCTCCCACTGACTGCAGCTCGGATGAAGTGAAAGATGAATTTTACAGAAGACTCTGAACTTCTTTAGAAAGCTAAACGTTCAGACATAGTACTCATAGCAGGTGACTTTAATGCCCAGGTAGGCAGCTTAAACGAAACAGAAAGACATTTGGGTGGGTATTTTAGTATTCCGGCGCAGCGAACAGATAATGGTGACCGTCTGCTGCAACTTTGCTCAGACAATCGTTTATTTTTAGCAAGCACAAATTTTAAGCATGAGGAGAGACATCGCTTAACATGGCAACTCCCTACACCAAACCAACGATGGACTCAAATAGACCATATTGCCATCAGTCATCGTTGAAGAGGGTCGATAGAAGATTGTCGCTCATTCTGGAGTACCTGCTTGGTCTCTGATCATGCCCTAGTACGAGCACGCATCTGCTTGCGCCTCACTGCACGCAAAAAAGCAACACTAAAAACACCCATTAGAACCTAGTTGAGTAATAAGAAAGCCAAAAGTAGGTTCCAGGAACAACTGAGGTCACACTTAGGTGGTTCGGAAAACGAGACTGACCCAGATGTTGCTTGGAAAGTTATACAAGCAGCTGTGGAAACAGCAGTGACATCTACCAGTGATTTAAACCACAGGGTTACAAAGAACCAATGGATTTCGTCAAGGTCTATTGCACTGATAGGTTCTCGTAAACTCATCCCATCAGGCTCTGAACACGGTGAAGAACGAAAACTAATCGGATCTAGGTTAAGCGAAAGTCTGAGGAACGACCGTGAGCAGTGGTGGGCAACGAAAGCAAAAGAGATGGAAAAGGCAGCGGCTATAGGGAACACAAGACAACTCTACAGACTAATAAAAGAAACTGGAATTAATAAGTCAAGTGTAAGTGAGACAATCACAGAAAAAATGGCACTCATCTGCTCCCAGTACAGACGTTTAGAACGATGGGCGGAACATTTTGAGGAGCAGTTCAGTTGGCCTTCATCTTCTCTACAACTACCCTCCATTCCCAGACAGCGTAAATGGAACATGGAAGTAGGTCCGCCGACTGTAACTAAAGTTCAAAAGGCTATAGCTAATGTGAAACGAGGAAGGGCAGCAGGACCAGTTGGATTGGTTCCAGAGGTCTTTAAGGATGTTGGTCTAATTTCAGTGATTAGGTTGACTAATGTTTTAGCTAAAATCTGGGAGTTATACGTTATCCCATCTAACTGGTCACAATCACTTATCGTCCCAATATTTAGGAAAGGATTAGTTTGACTAATATAGCATATAAAATACTAGCCTCAATATTTATCGGACACCTAACTAAGACTCGTGAACTACAAACACGAGAGAATCAAGCTGGCTTCAGACCTGGTCGTGGATGCATAGACCACATATTCACCATTCATCAGGTTCTAGAACACAGGCATACATATCGGTGTCCGACAATGATGGTGTTTCTTGACTGAAAAGCAGCATTTGACCATGTAGACCGAAGGGTTCTGTGGCAGTGTCTGTCATTGGAAGGTGTACCTAAGAAGTACATAAACCTTCTGAAGGCTCTTTACTCGAACACTACTAGTCGAGTCAGAGCTTACGGCGAACTGTCATCTGACATTGCAACCTCTAAATGCGTCGACAGCTTCACTCATTTTAAAAGTCTGATCAGATCTAATAGGTTGATGTCTGACGAAATCTCTGCACTGATTCAAAATGCTCGTTTGGATTTTGCCAACTTACGTCACTTAATGCGAACGCGAGATATTCATCTATCAATTAAAGGACGAGTAAACTGCTCAGCAGTTCGTTCTGTTTTACTTTACGGCTGCGAAACGTGGCTATTGAGGATAGAGGATACTCGTAATTTACTAGTATTTGGTCACAGATGCCTTAGAAATATTGCTGATATCTGCTGGGATCACCGGGTATATAATAATGAGGTTAGATGTAGGATATTAGTTAATGGTAGTAAATCAGTTGATGAGGTTGCTAATCTACATCGACTGAGATGGTCGGGTGACGTATTGCACATGTCAAACCACCGACTACCACGGCGCACAATGCTGACTAGTGTTGAAGACAGATTGAAGAAAGTTCGGGGTGGTCAAACAAAAACGTGGCAATAGTCATTGAAGTCACTAACTTCTAGTCTGACCCATGTTGTTAGATGCACACTACTTGGTTGGAGACTGGGTGACATGGCTCAGAATCTATCACAATGGCGTCGGTATATACACTCTTTGTCTTTCCTGAAACAATGCAATTAAGATCACTTCATATCTTTCTCTCTACGAACTAATTCTTTCTTCCTGTACTATATCCTTATATGCAATCTTTCTTTTATATACTACCACCACTGAATTAACGAATTTTACGAACTTGGTGTTCACCTTGTTGTGTTAATGAAGTATGACAAATTGAACTGATGCATATGTACATGATCCTACGTTGTAGATGGCTGACGGGCTGTTACAACAACAAACCCTTAAAAGTGTGGCTGATAGAATGGAAATCTAAGCTGTAGGTAATTTGATTTCCCTGTCAAATTTGAATAATTTTTGTGTTAGATAACATTCTGAAGAATCACATGTTGGCAGATAGAAACAAACAGGAAATATTATACCATGTAGGATGTTTGTTTTCTGTATTGTTGAAATTTCCACTCAGTTTAGAACCAAATAAGGAAAATGTACCAAGTACTCATTCGGTAAGAAATTGTACGATATTTTGACTGCCTTCCAGATAACCACCATGTGATGATTGATGTTACCATCTGAATATCTTTATATCTTTTTTAGGGTCCTAACAGGAACCTAGAAGTCGAACACCAACTATCTAAATTAGTTGGTTGGATAAGAATCGTCTTGTGATTACAAAGGAATCAGTTTAACTACAACACTGAGTAAAATACAAGCTTCAATAAGCATTTGATGCTTAATAAGGGCTGATAGAGCGTGAACCAGAGAAAACTAAGCTGGTTCCAGGATTGGGTATGGAATAATCAGACAAATACTTGTCAGATTATGGAGCATAAGCACAACTACTAGAGCCTCTATAATTCAGTCAGTAACAACGTGGAACTTCGTACGTAAGTACGTCAGTTCGAGTTGTCACACCACATTAGCACAGAGATTCAGTTATCGATTCAAATCCCGTAGTGGCTTAGTCCACTTGTCAGTGACTTGATGGATTTGTGCCATGTTTTGGTCTGGCCGCCCCTACCTTTCTTCTATCCTACTCCTACACCATAAAAACATCGCACGTCGGGGCAGTTGGTGGTCGGGCATGCGTAACACATATCTCAGCCATCTCAACTGACTAAGTTTCACTACTTCATCAATTGATTTGCCATCCTTACCTAGTACCCGTTTCATAACAACTGCATTACTTACTCGGTGGTCCCAAGATATACGAGCAATGTTTCGAAGACATCTATGATCAAATCCTAGTAACCTACGAATATCCTTTACTCTTGCCGGCCATGTTTCACTGCCATAAAGTAGGACGGAACGAACTGCTGCGCAGTAAACACGTACTTCGGTTAATAGACGGATATCTCGCCTACGCCACAAATGACGCAAGTTGGCAAAAGCTAGTCGAGCCTTCTGTATCTGTGCTGAGATTTCGTCACACACCAGACCACAAGGGCTAATCAGACTTCCCAGAAAAGTGAAGCGGTCGACACGCCCAACTACTCCACTTCCTATCACTAGTTAGGGTGTCGATGCAACTCAATCCTGAAGAAACATCTTGCATTTCGAGGGAGAAAATCGCATGCTGAACATGCTTGCATTGTGCTTAGAGTGGTCAGCCGACTGTCCAGTAATGTTTCTTGACCTAAAGGCAGAGTCCGACAGTCGATTAGCAGGTTTCATGCTAGTGTACGTTTTTAGAGGCGTACTAAATTACATCAACTCAGTACGGGCTTCATACTAGAACACTACTATTCAAGTCAGAACTTATGGCAAACTGTTATGAGGATTGTTAACTTCAAGTGGTGTTCGAGTTATTTACGAGATCTATTTTGTCATACACATTCTTTAGGAGTTAGTGCTCTCATCTTTTAATTTTTCAGCAATCGATCTACCAGAAGGTCTACTTGTTAACTTAGAGTACGAAGATGGTACAGTATTGTTTGATAGATACAAAATACATCATCGCGAGCATTTTCAGAATGTGATTTCCTCCCTTTAAATGTAACATGTTATTTCAGAGCTGCTTTCCGAACTAATGATTGGGAGTAAAACTGAGCCCATCGGTCAACTGACTTTTAATAGGCTTAGTGAGTCGGTACCTGATGAAATCTCGACTATCTCTTTCTATCTTGTGGCACAGGATAGATATCTGTCGGCAAACCAAACATGCTTTACGTGTGTTGTGAACGAGAGCAGTGAAGAAAACCAAATGAGTTTTAATACATTACAGAATGTCTCGGTAAAACCTGAGAACCATACAGTAATACTTCATTTGCACAACATCCATCAAAGGTCTCAGACTTTGTTGTTCCTTAATTTCCATATCAATCGCTCTATTCTTGTACTCTTCTCTTCGATTTTCTCAACCTTCTGCAATCAGGCGTTCCACTTTTGATTGGTGATACATACTACTTACATCTGTCGACCTCGGTAGAACACCATACGTATGCCTAACCAATACCAACCTAGACGGGCAATGGCTGGCATAGTGCGTTGAAAGGTAGGGGTGGTCAAAACCAAAAAATACAAGCAGACTATGAAATTGCTAACTTTGACTGAGCTACGTAGGCAAGTACAGCCTATATGGTTGAGGTCCGCACGATTTTGGGCAACAAATCAGAATCAGTTAAAATGGAGCATGTCCATTCACTGTTTTCTCTTAGACCTGAAGTTCCGAAACCTTTAGCACGTCCCTTCGTTTTTATACTTGATCTTCCTACTAATACGACTACTGTTAGTTATATTATTACTACTATCACTACGAAATTTGGCTTGATTTCATCGCACTGCTAATATGGAGTAGCATTATAGAGAGATGCACCTACATATTAGGTACTGAGTTGGTCATAAATGACTGACAATAACTCACGTTAATATGACAACACTAAGAGAAAATACATAACTATGAAAAAAGAACTGAAATTTCCATAATTCTACTCAGATTAAATAGTAAAGGGTTAAGACTGATCCTAGTTCAGCTATTAGCAAGTAAAAATGCACCACTGACGGCAAATGTTTTCGTTATGTGACCTATGAGCCTGTTGAGAAAGCGTTCAGGTCAAAATCCCCAGTTAAAGTCATAACACTGACTTATCTGGGTTGTAAAGTCAGTAAGAAGTTCACGATGGATAATCTGGATATTTATTGATATTTTTCTTAAACGGAATGAGATAAGGGAAAGATCGTCATTAAAGTAGTACACTGACCATAATCAGCGTAGACGGGTAGGTTCAAAAAGTGCATAGGTTAATACAACAAAGCCTGCATTATTGTCCCAGTGGTTTCACAAGCAAGTGGATGCACGATACGGTGGTTGTCGTAAGTCACAATTCTAAGGACTAGGAGTAACCGTATTTTCAACTTTATGGTAGAAACCCATCCGCTCTGCACTACTCGAATGTGGACAATTAGCCCACCTACTATCGGTTAGGCACTGCTTTGCAAGCTAAGCGACTTAAGTATTCACAATATTTTCGGCCATCAACGGACTACGTTAAAATGTTCAGCCGAAACTGATATTTCATTTACCGTTTACTAACGGTGTTAATCAAACTTAAGGCAATCTTCATATTAGATATGAAAACGCCATCAGTGTTTATACTACCACAATGTGTATAAAATATAAGTAGTAAGACGCCCTGTTATCAAAACATGTCATAATTTGAATGCGTATAAAATGAGTGAATTAACCTGCGAGAATTCGTATTGTTAAGTTAGTTAATGATATACGGACAAATACCACCTAAATTAGTTCGGGATCTCAAATATTAGGGGATAATTTAGCGAGCACTAACTTACTATATTTGACAAAAAAACGACACATTTGTGGGGCATTGAATCATGAAGTCACAGGAATTGTTACTGTCAAGTCTTCATGACAAGAGAACAAGCCAGCCTAAGAACAATTACACGGTGACGACCGAACTAGAGAACAAGCAACAAAGCCCGGCATTGAAAACACGGGTGGTGGGACATAGTTGTTTAAAAGAACAGAGCAACTACTGTGTTTATTTACAATGCGAGTTATTACATAAGGTCGTTCGACAATCAACTTTAAGCAGGGAAATTAATTTCTTCTAACTACTGACCATGTAAACAAGAAACTATACACATCATGAGCAGTCAGACAGATTAGTTGTATTATTAAATTAGTCCAAGTAATGTAAAAAAGATTTAAATTTCATGTAATCACTTGAAGTATGCCCACCAACATTCAACATATAGTTTGGATTAAACTGTAAGATGTTGAAAACCTACATTCTGGGTCGAATCCATGGAATTTCTTAGTTTCAGCATGATGGAGTTTAAGGAATTGCTCATTACAGCGTAGAACATCGATAATTACCCACATCAATTGAGCCCGCAGAGATGGCAGGCTGAGTCGAGGGGTTTACATACCGCGCGCTGTAACCATTCAAAACAATTCTAACAACGAAAGTGGAAAGCGTCTGTAGGACGACTAAGTTCAGTTTGCAAGTTTTCCAACGTGTTGTTTCACTTCATTTTGATTACAAAATGCAAATATGTAGACATTCTATCTCTCCATTATTTACTTGATTTTTTCACTAGTACGCTGGGGACTAGTGAACAAAATGAACCCAGCAATATTTGTTGCTACTAACTCCTAAAAGCTTTGAGTTTAGTTTTCTAATTGTTTTTGTCTGGGCTTGAATTAACTTTTATTCCATTATAGTCTTTATCAGGTGGTTGACGGCCAGCCAATAACTTATTATCAACGCATTTAATCGGGGTCTCGTTTCAGACTTGTTTCAGGCATCCCAAATAAAAACCTAACACAACCACAGTACGGATTCTTCCTAAAGTCTCTCTAAAACACACTTTTGCTTACACCAGTTTGCTTAGGTTTACTTTTGTTTCGGAAGCCTAAAAATGGAAGGTTTGTCGTGTAATTAAAGTAATTATTATAAGAACGATTTATATGTATTGATTACTTGTAACCATCGAATAAACCATGGCATCTGACCCGAAATTTGGCCATACTGTTATTCGGGTGCTTAAGTCACGAGTGGATTAATCAGCCATGTGTAGTGTAGTGTTGAGTCGCGCTTGACTATGAACACCGCTACAAAAAGACTACGTGCCAGTTAACCAATAAAATCCCCGTAGGCCAATATAAGAAGGCAGATGATGGCTGTAGCCGAGATGTATTTGTTGGCGATCTCGTGGTATCGAAAGAATACCGAGATCGTGCCAAAGGAGTACAAGCGTAAGTGCTTAGCGTAATCGAATTCGTACTAGATCAAAGTCAACGATAACGTGAGTGTAATGGCTATCATTAGCATAGTTAAACAAACGACCACAGTAAAACAATCACTGGTACAATTGGTTACAATATTAATTGTTTTCATTGAACCGATCGCGTTCTGTTGACAAAAGTAGGTCACTACACATGTTTCAATAACGAACTACAGCAAAATTTGGACGTAACTTATCAGTTCTTCAATTCTGTTTGGGGATACTTAAGAGTTCGATTTGTTTGGACGTTTAATTTTGATCAAAAGTTCATTCTATTGATTGACTTCATTGGATATACTTTTAATTAATTTAGATTTAGCTTAATATAATGGGCTTCATGGGATGAAGATATACTATGAAAACGAGGAGTAAAATGTCATAGAAAAATACCGAATTAAAAAGTGAGATTTCCCAAGCTGTTTGTGGTAAGTTTTGTTGTCAGTGAGAATAAATATGATATATTTTCATAAAATGTGTTCTGATCGACCAAGTTCTGCTGGTTCCAAACAAGGTAAGGCACTACTTAAAAAAAAATCGGAAGAGACTAAAATTTAAAAAAGCTTAGGATGTTAGAGTTTTAAAATGAGTTTGGGCTTGCTGAAATGGAATTTAACATCGAGAAGGAAGACAATCATTTGCCTATAGATAATGGTGGAGTAAATACTAAAATGGAAGGATGCTTGGAGAGTAATACTGGTTGTAGTGTTCGTTTAGGATAACCACTTTAAGTAATGCCGTTAATATTGATGTTTTGCCGAGAATCGGTACCATGTATTTTGATGGACAATCTAGCTAGTCAGTTTACTGGCAATTACGAATCTAAACTGTCCGATAAATGTCAAATGTCATATCTGTTGTACTGCTGTTAAGGACAGGTCAGAAAGATTACTGAAGCTTGCATCTGTTTGCCTATTCACTTGAGTTATGACAGAACGAAACAAATTATGTATGATTTGATGAAGGCGAAAACCTTTTCTCTGGTGAGCTAATTATGGGGTTGTCCAACCATGAACCTGCCGGATATCCAGCCGATGACTTAAATGACTTTGCTTATGAGCTGCATAGTATATGTATAACATTGAAACAAATGAGATATATGTTCGGAGCGAACGTTGCAATGGGCAACACTTTTTCACGTGCTTTATATTTGTTTTTGGCTAGTTCATTTATAGATTGTAATATACTGAGGTGATAATCGGGAACATTTTGCACTCGAAAGGTAGAAACTGAAGGTCATTTACCAGTTAATGCATATCCATCGTAGACTTTGCCAAATATTTTATATTAGCCCACAAGATTCAACATTAACGGGTTTGTCTCCTGATTATGCTAACTGAAACTTAAATACTTGTGGAATTATGGTCAACTTCAGTATTAGTACTACTTCGATAATCGAACCGATCCCAAAATTGCAGATATGACATGATGTGGCTGCCTAATCTATAAGGTCTTACGTGGAAGTCACATCAGTGTCTACACTGACTCGTCCCATCGTGATAATAGGCAAAATGACGTATAACATTTCTGAGGAACACACAAACATATAAACAGGTAATAATTAGTAATGTATGCACATTTGAAATATCTTGTTAACGAAATAGTCACTCACACAGCTTTCGATTATAATCAGTGATTTTAAAAGATGTGATTTATAATTTACTTCCTGTAAACAAGCCAAAATGTCAAAATATTTAATCCCGATATCTGACGAATCAGTAATTGGCAAAGTCAAAATTTATTCCTCTGGTTTTCTCATTTCTTATCCATAAATATCACTATCACTGCCTGACTCTCTGTGACAACCTCTGATTGTTTTGATTTTCACAAACTTATATTATCGAGAGTATGATTGTTGAGGAACACTTTTGTTTCTCACTAACTAACGAAAAACCACTAAATGATTCAGAACCAATCCCAGTAACTTTCCGTGAAACTACTAATGAAGACTTCAATAAACAAAATATCTCTAAGGCAGTTAGTATTTAGAATTACGGTCTATTATGATATTAGCACTGCTCTAATAATAGACCTAATCCTAAAATTGTAGATTTATCATGATGTAACTGCCTAATCTATAAGATCTTACGTGGAAGTTACATCATCGTCTACACCGATTCATTGCATTGTAACAATTACCAATACGTGATAGAGAACAAGCTTAGGCTAGAGACAGAATATATTTAATATGAATAGAAGATACAAGATAACATTCAGCTGGGACCACGCCTGCAAGGCCGAGCCATGCCATCCGATGAACTCGGACTAATTCAGTTTATTATTCCCGCCATCTCCATTCTTCTGTATTCCTCCGCGTTAAATGTTTAATGTCTATTTCTCATATTGTCTCGTGGTAGGGCCCAATGCCACTACACTACTCTCCCACCAGAATCAACGTGACGTTGGTTCGATACCAAGTTGTGCGGGATTGTCGCGCGCCGGAGGTTAGAAAGAATAATAAGAATCATCCGGGTATTGATGAACTGAAAGATAAATCAAAAAGAAGGCGGCAGCATCTGGTCGGGAAACACACGTAATAATTTTAAAGTGTCTGGTTTAATGCTTAACACGCTTAAAATGAAAATTTGGGCGGAGATTATTTGAGCTAAACAAAGCGGGATTATAATTATAATGAATTGACTCCGTATAGGGATATTTTAATAAGTCACCGTAAGATAGTTAGTAATAGTCGTAGGTTAATAACATTTCCTGTTTAGAATTATTAAAAACAATATTGTAGAAATGTTAAAACTGGTATTATATTTGGTCTAAATTATGAAATCCAATAACGTATGTGCCGGTAAGTTGTCCATGCGTTGATTTCCAATTGCATTTGTATTAGTAGACTAACTGAAAGAACAAAAGTATAAGCGCGGTGAAGAATTCCAACTAGTGTTCCAGTTAGTTTGATACGGTTTATTTAGATATGGGGAGATTTTCTCGACCTCATTTTTACTTGACAGTGATAGAATTTAGTAATACAACTAATACATATGAATTGTTATCGAAAATTTTTAAATACGTGAAAAGTAATCATTATGTGGATTTTGGACAGATAGATAAGAGCAATTCGTTAAACATGAGTGTATCCGTTAGAGATATGCTCTAGACTCAATGTTCTGATCTGCGTAGACTATTTATTTATATTCATACCTATCGGCTGATGGTACATACAAGTTAGTTGCATGTGTCAGTTTAGTATAAGACGGAATGCTATTTCATTGAAACATAGTAATTATAAATAATTGAAATCAGTTAAGCCTATGTGCCACCTTTCTAGGTGATGTGGTGCTGCAAGATGTATTCGTCTAAATAAGTTTTTACAAGATGATTAACAGCGAGTGATGCTCATGTGATTACCAGGGAGAACATAAGTTGTAAACAAGGGGAGTACACTCCCAACTCATGTCTATGATAATGGCCTGAACCTTAGTCAGTGTCGGGGTAAATTCGACATTGATGTTTTCAGTTTGCAGGAGATTTGCTCGACTGCTTATACTGATGATTTGCATGCATGATTGTGTCGCTAAACCTCCAATTAGACTGACAAGGTTTTGAGATATTTACTGAATGAGCAACTGATAAACATACTGTAATCATCCTTAGTGAATGAAAAGAAAAACAACACTACTTAATGATAATTATAAGTCGACTTGCTGACCGATTTGTTAATAGTTTCGTCAACTTTATCAATCATATTACATGATTGTCAAGTCATGACAATGCTTTATGACGATATCCTTAAAAAATTATGTTAAAATAATTATAGTGTTGATTGAAGATAATCCAGTGAAAAATAGATGCTGTTGCTTTGTGTGATTCAAAATTATCAGAAATTCGTAGCGTGAACGAATCCGAGTTACTTGTTTATATTACTAATGGTAATTTAAATATATTCGTGTACATAATGTTAATTTTATTAATAGGCTTCGGAGATTTAATTTTAAAAATTTGATTGTCAAACAACATGAGAATTTAGTAATTAAAATTGGTGCAGTATGATAATACCTAGATTTGGTGACTTTATTATTGTTGGGGACGGTAGATCCTCAAAAACTCATAGTTTGTAATTTATCTTGTGGAGCTTGTATGCACATGTATACGTGGGCATTTCTTACCGCCCACGCACATAGTTGATTGACGAAATTATCGATTAAATGTTTAAATATTTCAA